CTCTACTATGTAGGATGCAATGGCCAGAGCTCTTGAATTTGAATCCTACGTTAAGTCCAGCACAGAGGTACCTATTGGTACAAGGTTGGTACAGTCATTAGGATTCAAAGCCAGGAAAGGTCAGCTTTCAGAGAGGTTTGAAGAACTTTGCTGGCACTGTAACAAACCCGGGCACAAGAAAGCTGAATTCTGGAAACTTCAACACAGGGAAGATGCCATGGCAGGAAAGGCTGCTACCCAGAAAGGTTGTTGGAACTGTGGAGAGCAAGGACATATGAGGAGCCAGTGTAAGAAGAATATTACCAACAAGTTAGCCTCAAGGAGACCAGTAGTGGTTGGTGTTGAGGGACACTCACCAACCCCCATCGTGAAAGTCCCAACAGCTAGGTGTAAAATGGCAAGCACACATAGTGTCTATGTGACAGGAAAGCTGGACAGCAAGAACAGCAGTTACGGTCAGCGGGAACCGAGGATAGCAGATACAGAGATCGGAACTATAGTTGCTGACAAGCGGAGATAGAGATGGACAAATGAGTCAAGTGCAGTAGAAAGTGAGAACTATAGTGTGTGTAACTGTGAAAATTAAGTGTATTGCAAAGTTGTATTGAGGAAGAATAAACAAGTTTTATTTAAGAAAGCACTTGTATCGTAGAAAAATTAACAAACAAACATACAGAGACGTAACAGTATATTATTTTAAAAGAAGTAGATTGCATGCTGTACATTTATTGTTTGAATTTATTGCTAACAAGTCACAGACACCTACTGTAAAAGACTTCCGGTCCCTATAAAACTGACACTCAACTTTATATTACCTGTGTTTTGGTAAGGTTTTAATAAAGCAAACTATTTTGGAGAATGCTTAATAAAATCAATTAATTTCCCACTAAATTTATAGCATCTCTAGCAGGTTCAACATTTTTTGTACTGTCCTATGTGATAGTGAGAGAGCTTGACAATATACTGATATAGCTTGAGGTTCTACTTATTTTATCCTTTTATACAAGCCATTATGAACACCAGAGACATTAACAGTTACTTGCACCATCAAAACACTCTCTCCTTGCATTATCAGTTGGCATTTCAAGACAAATATTTATCTGTCCATAGTTCCAGTTCTTACACATAAAGAAGTTTCATCAATTAAAGTAGTAAAA